GTTAAAAATCGCAACAATATGATTTGTTCTTATTTTTTTTTTAATGATCATTTTTAATTTACTTTTTACATATTATCTTGAATTTATTTAACATAAGTGCTATGTACAGTAAATTCTTACGACTGAAATGGTTAAAAAGCTTGAAATAACATCCAATTAAACTGAATTTAAAACATAAAATTTGAAAGAGGTTATTTGAGCGAGTTGCTCGATGCCGTTTAAAAAAAATATTCTGAGTGAGACTGATGACTCAAAGCCTTTTGTAATGTCTAAATGGAAATATCTGAACTGCCATGATGAAGCAAACATGTGGAGGTGAGATATTTTTCTGTGGGCTTGAACCGGATCTCACTCTGAATCACGTTTGAGTTGTTTTTGCATCAGCAGCACCCCTGCAGGCTCTGTGGCTCATCTGTTGCAATGCTGAACTAAGATTTACTGGATATTGCTGAAACTAAACACAAATTCATTACTTTGCATTTTCTGTATGGCCAGGGGGAGAGGAAAGATGATGGCAAAAGTAATTAGTCTTTTTTTTTTTTTTTAATGTTCAGATCTCTATGTGATATTTCATCAGTTTGGTTTTGCCTTGTTTTTGTATTCTTACAGTTTGTGCACAAAAACACAGGAGACAGTTCGCCTGCTGAGACGTCAGAGGCCACTCAACACAAACAAACCCACAGACTGTATCCAACACTGCCAAATATAAACAGGTGAGACTCTTTACCTCACCTCCTGAATCTGAAATGACAGATTTATAGCTCTGAAACCAAATCATGTTTGTTTTTTTTGGGTTTTTTTTTTAATTTCTCTAGATTTGAGGTTTGCTTGCCACTCGGCTCCACTGGGGAAAAACTTTGCGCAGCTGCTGAGAGTCACAATGAGCAGAAACACACACAGGTTGGTGAAAGCGGGAGGTTTTTCAGTCTCGTGATTCTCCCTTTACTGCAACGGTACAGCAAAACTTCCAGAACTGTGTAAAAGGAAGTTTTATGTTGCACAAATGCCTCACTCTTGGATGCTGCGTATTTATGCTTCCTCTTTTTTTTTTTCTCTCTCTCTCGTCGGTGTGATTCAGTCGGAAGAGCCGCTCAGCGGTTATTACGCCATGAAAGAACAGATTCTCATCTTGGAGCAGCAGAATAAAGAGGTGTGAACATTTCAGAATTGACTTGGATCAACTCATGCATTAAGTTTTGTTGCTTACAGAGTTCTCTTTTTTATTATTCAGCTTCTTGCTATTAACAATAAGTGGGGAAAAGAGTACAGAACGATGGTGCAGTATTACAAGAAGAAGGTAAGGACCGCAAAGACTTTTTCTCATACGATACATATACACGTCTTGAACGTTTTGGGATTCTGCCTTATTTTATTGGATTTTCCTTTGGTTTTCAACATGTTATACTCACGAGAAATTGACTGACGTGGTTTTAGAGCCATTGTTTTGCTGCAGTTAAAGCTCTAAATCTTCTGTCTCTGTCATCTTTGATGGTTAGGAGTTTTACATTTTTTGCCCATTCTTGTTGGCATAAGCAGCTGAAACTCAACCAGACTGAATGTGTCTGGAAACATCACTTTTCAAGTCGATTTGAACTTTGACTATGCCATTCCAACCCATAAATAGCCTTTGACCTGATTTGGATGTTTGGGGATTTTGTTCAGCTGGCCGATGAACAAGCTCAGTTTTGTTTTTTTGGGGTTTTTTTTGGGCAAACTCGGGTAAATTTGCTCCCTTCATGTTGGTAAAAAGTATCTTTGCAGCTCCTCCAGAGTCACCACAGATCACTTGGCTGCTTTGTCCAGATTCTGTCCAGTCATGTTCAAACCTTATAGCCTATCTATGATTTAAACTTAACCCCAAATGCAACAGCACATGTCCATGTTTAGATTCAAACCGTGTATAATTTTCCTTCAACATATAGAAGTTTTTGCTATAAAATCCCAGTAAATGTCAAAGCAGTTTGATACTTTTTATTTAATTTAAAGTTATTTCAGCTTCATGGTCTGCACTTTATTCACAGGTCCAGTTTTTAAAAGCATTAAAACAAGATGGTGTCTCTGAAGAGGAGAGAAGCGATGAAGAAGAGAGGCCTGTCACATTCTGTAAAAAGGAAAAGGTCCATAAAGACACCCAGGTAAATGCACCGGACAAGTTTTCAACATTATAGTTTTTATTTTTTCCATTTCTGAGCTCTATCAATTTATTTAATCCAGCCTGGGAAAGACGGCGTTGGAACCGAGTTGCGGACTGCAGAGGAGGAAACCGAAGAGCTGCGAGCGCAGATCCACACTCTGACCCGTAGGTGGCAGCATCAGCAGGAGGAGATCAGGAGGCTCAACAAGGTCAGAACTCAGTTTCACACACTTTACTCCTCCATTCGGCACAGAGGCGTGTTTACCAGCTCTAACATCAGCTTCACGGTGTCTCCCAAAGGCCTTAGAGGAGAATCTTCAGAGATCTCAGCCTGTGGAGAACAGCAGTGAGACACTACAAGACATCTGGAAATATCAGGTGAGAAATGATCACCGTCCGCTCCTCAAAGTACTCAGTGAACGCGCATCTTATGCGACTTTATTGTGTTATTTTAGCATAACTTTGGCTGTGTTGAGGAAAACTGCATAACATGTTGTATAGAGAGGAGAGAAGTTACTAATTACATTCCTAAAAGGAAGTTATGAACACATTGATGTGTAGGTGGAATAACATTAACAAATAACTTTGCACAAATAAAAAAAAAAAGATAAAGAAAAAAAGTCTAAATAAAATCCATCCATTCATAATCTTCTGTTTACTGGCGTCGGATCATAATCACTGTTTATGACAGGATTTATAAACACTGCTTACATTTTGATTTACAAACTCTGAAAAAATAAAAAGCTGACAATGTGAGTAACCCCTATTTGTAGTGTTGCCTCCAAAAATCTAATTAAGATCTTTATGTAGACATAAACTGGACCATAAAGTGTGTTTATAAATGAAGATCTTCATATCAGGGAGGACAGAGTCAAAATAAAGTGCTGCTACGACAGACTGAATCATCTCCGCTCGATGCACTGATGTCCGTTTTAGGCTGAAGTCTACAAGGAGGACTTCCTGAAAGAGCGCAGGGACCGGGAGAAGCTGAAGGGGAAAAATTTGGAACTGGAGAAGCGATATAAAAAGGTTCACGACGAGCTGCGTGTCTTCAAATCCCAGGTACTTCAAAACGAGTTTTTTTTTTTTTTTTTTTTTCCACTTGTAATTTTCTGAGTCGAACCCGACGGATGCTGACGTGGCGCTTTCGCTCTTCCAGGTGACTCTGGCGCAGCCGGTGCACCGCTGTTCCTGCACGAATCGACCCAAACATCCAGACAGGGAGCACCAGCAGCAGCAACAACAACGCTACACTTTCAGCAGCAAAGACTGAACGAAGCGTTTAGAGTTTTGAACGGTGATGTTTCAGTGGATCTCGGTTGGAGGAGGAGGTCTGGACAGGAGAGCCTTCAGAAGGACAACCTGCAGCAGCTTCGGGTTACTGAAGGCACAGAAGGTGTTGCGCTGTCAAAACACTATGACGGATGCAGACTTCCAGGGAATGTTTTAGGGCATCTTAGCATGTCTGCAGGAAAGGAAGGAATAAAACACAACCATAATGGTTTGCTTTATCACATAGTAAGGAACAGGAGCTGAATCTATGCTGCAACTACAGCTTATAGCATGCGACTTCTTATACACTATTAACATTTAACCACTTTTAGGACCTCGCATTTTGCTTTTAAAGATTGGAAAAAGACAAAAAAGAAACTCTAGGAAGAACCTGATGAAGTTTTTCTTCCAAGACAAGTTGTATTTTATACAGTATATTTATTTATTTAGGTTTGATGGATTTAATGGCACTTGTATTTTACATAGTTGTTTATTTATGACGAAAATAAACATTTGTCTTTACTTTTTGACTCTGCATATCATTCGAGAAATACTGCTGACTATGTATGCAGAATTTTGTCCAAAAAAAAAAAAAAAGTTTTCTATATTTTAGTTTAAATTAAAATCATTAATTCTGTGCATAGAACTAAAACACACGTCTGGTATCAGTTATTTTTAACTAATTTATAGTTCAGCTGAACAACCAAATATGTTAATTTTAAATTTTTAATCTGGTTTCTTAAGAAAAGATACAAAGAAAACCAGACATCGCACTTGCAAGCAGTACTTTGCAAAAGCTTTTATAGTTCTTGAAGTATAAATATTCTAAAAACGTTGTGGGAAAAAAGCCACATCTTTTCCAAATAGATGCATCCATTAAATCTGACTGAGCTTGAGTTGTTTTGCAAAAGAAAATGGTCAAAAACAGGGAAGCTTTCCAAAAGCTTTAGAGCTTTTACTGAAGCCAAAGGTGCTGCTGCAATGAAAGATGAATGTAAATGAACACCAGTTCTTAAGATGAAATCAAAAAATGAGTGAAAAAGTTTTTTTTAAAAAGTGAAAAAGTGCCTGCAGGCTGGTTGCACACTTAGCTGAAGGCTTTGGGATGACAGCCTTGTGACAAAAAGTGAAAAACCAATTCTATACAAGAAAAACATAAAGCAAAGGATTAAATTGTGATCCTGAAAAAAAAGCTTTTGAAATTTATTAAAGATTTAACATTTTTCCGCAGTACATAATACAGTACATAACAAGCCAGTCAGTCAGTGCTTCACAAAAACAGATCGCCAGAAGGGCGAACCTCTAGTGACATCTAGTGGTGAGTCTAAGGAAGTGACAGAAACGTCCAGATTTTGTTTTTCCATTAAAAGATGTGCAGCCGGGATAAAAAGATTGCTAAAACCGAAATATTTTGGTCAAGATACTTTCTCATTTTACATTTGATTAAAAAAAAAAGGTTGGGAAAGAAAAGCTTTGGGAAGAACCGTCATGGTCACAGTTCTACCATCAGTGACTTGCAAAAATGTCCACGCAGCTTAAACTTTTACACATTTTTTTCACTAAATATTCTCAGTTATGACTCACACACAAGAAATATTTTTGGAAGAAATTTATTGGCACAGTTCTAGCAGCAATGTGTCCCTGTTTATTTTCGACGTTGGTCTCATAACATTGCGGTAAAATTCCTCTCATGCAACAGTAACCTTTAACAAACACAAAAACTGTAGGTTTTGACACATTGAGCTCAGTTGAAATGATTGTCAGCGCAACAGAGTAAAGTGCATCTGCACAAAACACAGAAATCAATACTTATGTTTGTTTTTTTTGCTGCTTTTTGGCTACATTTTCAATGACTTACTTTGACAAAGTGTGACTATGAACAGAATATTGCATTATATGGCCTTAAATGGAATTCAATTTAAAGTAGAAAATATATATTAATAGGCTTTAAATGCAAACACAGCTGTACTCAGTGCTCAGTGTTGTTACAATGCTAATTATGATGCTGGGGGATGGGGGGAGATGCCACGTAAGTGAAATACTGTACTGTTCTGCCTTTTTACAGATAAATATGTTAAATACATTCTGCTGAAGATTTACCGCCACCGATTTAAAAAGACAAACGCTAGCCAGATCGAACCGCTCTCCGCGTCAGTAGAAAGCCGGGTTCGTGTGCTCGATGATGCAGCGGCGGCAGTGGCGCCGGACGAAGCGCAGAGCTTCTGGTGACACCTCGCAGTCCTGAACGTTGAGAAGCTGCAGCTCGCAGCAGTTAGCCGCCAGAGCTTTGAGCCCTCTGCCCGTCACGCTCTCGCAGGCCCGCAGGCTCACCCGCCTCAGGCCTTGGCAGTACATGGCCAGCTGCTCCAGCCCGCTGTCCGACACCAGTGGGCATTTCCCCACGTCCAGAGATTTCAGTTTGGGGCAACTCCTGGCCAGGTGGCCCAGACCGTGATCCGTCAGCCCCTCGCAGCCCCTTGCGTTCAGGTAGCGCAGTCTGGGGCAGTAGCGGGCCACGTAGCGGACGCCCACATCCGTGATTCGGGTGCAGTGGGCTACGCTCAGGTAGCGCAGGCAGCCCTCCAGGCGGGCCACCTCACGCAGGCCGAAATCCCCCACCAGGCGGCAGTCACTGAGACTCAGCTCCCGTATCGACGGGCAGTGGAGAGCGAGGTGACGCAGGGCTTCGTCTGTCAGTCTGCTGCAGCGGCGCAGATACAGGTGAGTGAGGCGAGGGCAGTGCGAGGCGATAGTTCGTAAGCCCTCGTCCTCGAGCGAAAAGCAATCGGTCATGTCCAGGAAGTGGATGGAGATCTGCTGGCCGTGCATGGGGGACAGCTGGAGTGAGGCCTCCTGGGTAAGGCTGATGCAGGTCACCTTGGAGCAACCTGGTCAAAAAAAAAAAAAAAACTCAAGTGAGATAGACTGCAAGTTGTCGTTTTCAGCTAAGATGATTCTTAATACAGAACATGCCTTGGGATGAACTACGCACCACAATAGAAAATGTCTGAGGGAGTTCCACAGGGATCTACTTTCAACACTAGTTTATTTTGTCATTTTAAAAATTACTTGTATCCGAGACATAATTTTAAATTAAAAGACAAAACTTGATGAAACAAAAATTTAGAGACTTGTAAAAAAAAAAAAAATAAATAAATGAATAAAAAAAAAAAATTCAATACAAAATTACAAATGAAAACGAATCAAATGAATCTTTAAAAATGCAGTCATCTGCTGATGACAGTCATTTTTCCCTTAGGAAATGATTTGAGCGAACCGTATAAGTTTTGAAGTCTGCTTAGTGGCCAACAGTGGGATTGCACCCTAAATGAATGTACATTGACACATTTTCCTTTCTGTAAAAATGAGTCTGAAAAACTCACAATGACCATAACGAGAAAATACCAAGGTGTGATTACTTTTTCCCTATGGAATGTGTTCTTGCTTTATGATTTGGATGTCGCCAAAACGTAATGCTTATTGTTTGTTTCATGACTGGCGACTATATGATGTTTTTATGACGTAAAGCACTTTGAACTGCCTTGGTGCTGAAATGTGCTACACAAATAAACTTTTTTTTTATAATTTGTGGTTTAATTAATTAGATTTTAATTGCTATTTCTTTTTCAAACCAAGCAGTTAGTGCATGCTGGCATCACTATGCGTACATTTGCTTTTATTTTCTCTGGCTTTCAACTGCAGCTTTCCTCGAGCACACAGACTCGGTGGTGATACGGCGGAAGGAACCCAAACTTTGATGCTGATTTTATTTCAAAGTCTCGTCTATAGCTCTATTCATCCGGAAAGCATGACTGGGAAACTTGAAAAAGACTTTATTCTTTGAAGATGCCCACTTGATCCACCACAGAATAAATTAAACTGATGCTTGGAAGTTATTTTTTAACAGAATGGGTCTGCGGGTTTTTGTCTCGGGTCACTTAACATTCAAACTGAGTCAGGAGGGAATCTCATAAAGGCTGCTAAGGACTGAGGGAATCATCACAGCAACCAAAAATGATGAGATGTGGCTTTATTTTACAAGTTTGCCACATGGGGGCGCCAGAGAGTTTGGTAAGTTTTGTTATATTTCAACAGAGAAGTTTAATATTCAGTCAGAAGTGGAATACATCATCAGCTTCTGATTGTTTTTCCTCCAGTCAAACTCACTCAGTGTGAAAGTGTTTGCTTCCACTGTGCTAATTTAGCGGTGCAAACGCTCCCACCTACAACCAACATCGTTCCGAGTCGACGTTATTTGTGTCACTTCCTTAATGAAAGCAGCAGACTCGTTGCTCATGTTGAAGAAGCCTTTGCTTTCAGTTAAAGAAAGCCTTTCTTCTCCCACAGGGGGACTGGAGGTTGGCAGAGCTGCTCCTGCACCTCTAATGCTTTTACCAGCTTTGCAAAAAATAACTGAAAACCAGCGACTGGAGATAAATCCACACGTGTACAACATAAGGAAGCAGCCACTTCTTAATTTAACCTAAATGGAATGATTGGGGCTCCAGGCCAAGTCGCTCCTTCACTAAATTGTGCTCCCATTTTGACCCACTTGTTGCCAGTTTGGCTCCTCCGACTTCCGTCTCACACCAGTAAACATGTCAGTTCATACCTCTGCCCTTACCTGATGCATATCATTTTGTTAATGTTTGTAGATGAGTATTTTCATGAATTATGGAGGTGCAAAGTAATAAAATTGCGCAAATGTCATGAATAACTGAATTTACTTATGTTGAGTTTTGCAGGCTTGGCACTGTACAACGTTTTCAGACATTTTTGGCCAGTTGATAGTCTAGAAACACTTATAGAAGCCTATTTTAGTAGGGGAAACACCAAATATACCTTTATATGCATTGATACACACGTTAGAAACAGTCTTAGCATATATATATTTTGGATACGCTCTACAATAACATCCATAAACAGGTGAATCCAGTGTAACTGATGAATGAGGCAATGTCTGCAAGGTAGTTGAGAGTGAAGTCGAGCTGTGGTCTTTCACATGCGATCTTTCGTATATTCTGCAGAATAGATCAAGCATACTCTAACGATCCAAGCAGCGCCTTTAAGTTACAAACATCTGCCGTTTCATTCTATTTTCTTTTGTGTTTGTCTTCTTACCTGAGAGGTCCAGGTGTTCCAGGTTGGGGCAGCGGGACACCACCTCAAACACGGCATCATTTGAGATGTTATAGCAGCCGGCGACCTCCAGGCGTCGCAGCTCCGGACAGCACTGGGCCAGGATGTGCAGGCCGCGGTCGGTGAGCCTCTTGCAGCCGTTGACCACCACTGTCTCCAAAGTCAGGCACACATTGGGGGTGTCCTGGCACAGCCTGTGGGTCAGGACTCGGATGGCACGGTCAGCATGCAGCAGCTCTCCCGTGAGCCGGATGGTGCTCCACAGCCGGGGATCCCACGCCAGGTTGTACCAGCGGCGGCACACGCGAGCGCATCGGCAGAGCTGGTTGGTTGGGAGGTGGGAGAAGATCTGCAGGAGGGTGTGGTCGGGGAGCAGGTTGATAGGAGCATAGTGGTGGGATTTGGACTGTCTGGAGCGGGAGTGGACACCAGGCTGAGGGTGGATCACGGCCACCGTCTCAGTGTGGGCGGAAGAAGAGGATGAAGAGTTTGTCTCGTTGCCATTACTTGAAAGGGCGGGAGAGGAGAGGGAGGAGGACTTGGACGGTAAGATCAGACCTGGGCTGGGGGTGCTCAGTGTTCTGGTGCTCGTCTCCAAACCTGAGAAGAAGAAAGGCAGAAGAAGATGAATAATAGCAAATTTGTAAAGTTACTACCTGCTGTACAAATCTTTAGATTTTAAAGTCTTGGCATTATTTTTTCATTTGGATTTAGCTCTGGACTAAGGAATATGCTTCGGCTATGTTGATATTGCAGGCCCTAACTCATTTTTCTCTACAATTGTTCTGTGTTTGCTCTGCTGATCTTTTCCTGAAACTAATTGATGCAAATCTGTGATTCTCCTCAACATTGAACACTACGCCCAATATGGCTGGTTGGCCAAGATTTTTATCTTTATATAAAAAGGCTTTAAACATGATACGTCATAAGAATAATCACTGCAGCAAAACCTTTTCGATTAATGGTCATAAGTGACAATTAAACAGCTTCAAGATTTACTATAGTGACCAAATTGACTCTGTAGAATATTGATGAATTTCTGAAATCGGTGGCCATGTTTTCTGTTTTTGACATGTTGATTTGCACACGCGAGTCTTCACGCCACCCGACGAAAGAGTCAATGAGTGGACAACGGCTGCTCTCATTGCCTCAGAGAAAACTGACAATTACTGAGTCATCCACATATTTTATGACGAAGCGATCGTTGAAAGCGCTCTGACACATATTTGTATACAATATGAACAACAGGGCTGAGAGTACACACCCTTTAGATTGAGTCAGTTCAATGAGATGCATTGTCAATAAAACAGTGCAAGGAAACATATTAACCTTAATACCCCAAGGTCTGCCTGGAAACCACACCCAAGAATTTTTGATTGGCTAATATCATTTTTTAATCTCATTTAAGTACACGTCACACAGACTGAAAACAGAAAAGCAAATGTTTTGCATAATGTTGTATTATGATGAAGCACACTGAACCTTTTAATATTTTAAATATTCAAACAGATTAGTGAAACAACATCTTATTTACTGTTTTTTATCCTTTCCTATTCCCACTCCTTACCCCGACTCAATACCATGTGACAGTTTGACAGGTCATTTGTCAAAACTGGATCAAAATTGCAAGTACGTGTGATTAAATACATCTTGAAAGTACTTGTAGTGAAAAGAGTACCACAAGGATAAAAACATCCCCAAGCAACAGAGACCAGACCATCGCACCACCTCCACGTTTGACTTTCAAGATAATGTTTTCTTTTCTGAAATGCCGTTTTAGTTGCACTTAAGATACAAAATGACACACACACTTTTGTCTCATCAGTCCACGAAAAGGTTTTCCAAATCTCTCGAGGATCATTAAGATGTTTGCAGTTATATTCATGTTCTTGTTGGTCAGCTGTTGTTTTTACCTTCAAAGAACAGTTCGCCAATCAAACGCTGACCTTAAATGGGGCAAGTTAACCCTGCAGTAGAGCAGGTGTTGTTCTGAGGGTTCTCTTGTGACCTCTTGGATGAGTCAGCGGTGTGTAATCTTGGTAGGACGGCCACTCCTGATAAGGTCCACCACTGTTCAAGCAGGCCATGTTTAAGTGATTTGAAGGACTGAAGAACATTCTTAAAGAATCTTTGAATTAGAGCCACAGTTTCTGCTTACACCATCAGCCTTGTTTTATTTGACTAATCCAACTTCATCCAACCCACAGATGACATCACACTAGCTTAGTAATAAATAGTGATCAATTGTCAAGAATTTTTATGCAATTAAAAGGAGAGAGAAATTAATATACCTTGGAAATACATTCAAAATACGACTGCCAACAAGACGTTAGTAAGGAATAAGACATTTTTAAAAGAATAAATTATTTCTTCAACGTTTCTGTGTTTGAAGTGGCAAACTTTCACAGTAAAGGCATCTTACATGTAATGCAGTTTCTGCGGATCTCATTATCACGTTTTAGGACCTTTGAAATAAAAAACAAATCAAATTATACACCAGGAGTAAACCTGCTGAAGCACTGGCTGGCAGGGAGTCTCCATCAGATAAGCTGAGTGGCTTCAAAGCATCAGAAGCGTTTGCTGCTGCAGCTGCCAACGTGCGGTCGGCCCTGTGCACAGGTCGAGGTCTTCCCAGTCTGAAATATTATGCTTCGATTGCGCGTAGATGCAGCAGTAATGAGCGATCGCTGGATCCCATCGCTGTAGCTGCAGACGACAAAATCCTTCCTCTGCCAAAGCCTCCAACCTGATCGCCCAGATTCTTCTCCATTAAGCCGAGACGCTGTGTAAACTCCTCTCATGCATCCTGATATTCATCATTTATATCTCAACCTTCACTCTACAGGCGTTTTGGCAAAAATAATGAGGTGATTAATCTTCTTGTATGAGCTATTGAGGTTATGCTGGGATTTTTTTTTTTTCCAAAAACCCATCCTCAGAAAGGATTTACAGAGTGTTAGAACTGCTAAGGTTTTTATAACAACACTGAAAAAAATGAAACTGTGGAGCAATATTATTGGAAAAAATTACTTTGACGCAAGAGAAAAATGAGCTACTTCCAAACAAATGTCAGAAAAACTTTCTGATTCATGAAGAAATCACCCCAGTTTTCAGCTCCTGGTATTCTAAAACCCAGATGTTACACATTTTCAGTCTGTTAATGTAACTATTGCCTCTATATAGCTATTAGGTAGAGTGCATTTATGCAGCAAAACCATTAACCTGTTACATAATTCAAAATCGGTAGAAATTGCTTTAGAGGGGGCAATCAAAATGCCACTCTTGTAAAATTCACCAAAAAGGTTTTACCACAGTCACACAATGCCACGGTCCTCCCTCATGCACAATCCTCTTTCACTGCATCTGGATGCAGCTTCGGAACAGAAAATTACACCTCACTAGAACAATGCTTCCACCAGAAACACAGAAGCTTGCATAAAGTATTCATAGCCTTTATGCAGGGCATGTAGTTTCACTGCATGCAAAAGAAGTTTTTAATCATTATATCTTATTATAATGTCATTTTCTCATCGAAAACATACTTCCAGTTTTGCTTTGATTTTTTCATGCACATTTGAGAAATCCTTTAATCTCCCATGGCAATCATCCAACTGTGCAAAACGGCTGGGTGGACCTAGCTCCGCCCTGGGGGCGTGTCTGCAGTTTCCAAACTTTTGAGCTTCTGCCTCACAGAGCAGACCTCCCTCGTTACTCTCCCACTCAGCTCCTTCAGACTAGCCAGCAGCACTTAGCAAACCCCTGGTGGAACTGCTGAACTCTTTATAGGAGCTGCTTCTCAGTGCAAGATGGTAAAAATAATGTTAAACAGTTAAAACAGGAGCTATGTTGGTTTGACCTCTGAAGGCGGAGTTTCAGAAAGAGCAAGAATTTCTTAAAGAGACAGAAGTCCAATTTCAAGGCTTTTAATTACTGTATAAGTCATATTTGATATATGTAATGTTTGATTTTCTGAAACTCTTAACTGAGACGAAAAAGTAAAAAAAAAAAATGGAAGACATCTATCATGGCTAGGACTAAGTTGATAAATGTTCGCCGTTGGACCTACAGTCAGCTGTTTACACACCGGATGTCGACATAAATGACAAATGTGCGCCATCCTGTCCGTTACGTGGATCCGTGAGCCGGGTCTGACAGCCAGGCAGTGGCGCCGCCCTCGCAGATCTCTATTCCAGACCGGTGTCTCAGTCGGCCTCCTGGCTCTGGGCTCTGATGACATCCACAGACTCTGTAGCATGTTGTCTGATTCACGACTATGCTAGAAAAAAAAAAAAAACGCCATTCCTGTGCTGACTCGCAAACAAACTGAGGTGAAACAAAGATCGGAAATTGGAAAATCGCAGCGTTTTCATGCATCACATTTCTGCAGGTGGTCTGTTAATGATTAAGTTCAATTTCCCTGAGGTCATCTGGCTTATTTTGGCAAATACATATTTTAAACAATAATAAATTTTTTAAGCTTCATGCAGAAGACTTTAATGGGCTGATGTCATTACAAACAAATCCTCCATTGTGAAGTTCACACAGCTGTTCAAATATATCCTGACAGTAATGGCACTGCAGTTTTTATATGCAGAGTTTCAAAATTGTAATGGCTTCGTCTTTTATTACGTCGTGTTTGTCAAGACATGAAAAAGAATCACAGGCTGCAGAGAAAGGCTCCAGAAATTGGGGGAACTCTGTTAGTTTTTAAGGTTAACAGGCCTAATTTCAATCAACAGCATTAAAAATACATTAAAGCAAAAACATCGGATCTAAACAACCTTTGAGTCATTAGTTCCTGATGGATGAGGCACGGCTCTGCTCGGTTCCAAGCTGAAGTAATGCTGTAGATTCTGTATGCAAAACATCTGCAGCTGCCTAAAGAGCAACTTCCAGTTGGTGTGATTACATGTGTGACTGATCAAAGGGCGGCTTCAGCTTTTTACATTTGCAGGGACAGTAATCACACCAACCACTCATTCTGGGGTACAGATGAGTAAAGTTGGCTTCGCCTTTGTGTGGACGCTCTGGGATTGTTAATCTGACTCCAGTTGATGGGACTTTTCAGTGTTTCACGAACCTTTTCCTGACATTTTACTGACAACGGTCAGTATAATTGTCAGTTTAAGTTTACAGGTCCATAAGTGCCACGATAACGAAAAGTAAAACTGCCTGGAAGACGAGTTGTCGATGGATTTGTTTCTCAGTTTATATTTTACACTAAAAGTGGAAAAAATTTAGAAATTATTTATCATGTTTTCGATGAAAATACATTTTCTTCAGGTTTGCTCCCAATGTATTGAAAATGGTGCCACATATCCAATATTTCCTTTAGTATTAATATTGAGTTTATTATATGAATTCCACACTGCATGTGCAAACAAGAAGAAAAATGTCAGTGATTAGGCAACAAAGGACTCCATATTCCTGTAAAATATCTGCATTTGTAAACTTATAACCTATTGCTACCTTGGAACACGGCGGTGGCAGCATCATGTTGTTGGGATCAATAGCTGGTCAGGGAGTGAAGCTAAATACAGGACAGAAAACCTAAAATAAGCTGAAAAAAAGCATAAAACCAAGGTAAAGATTCACCTTTG